TAACATTCCGTTGGAAGGCCCGGACTTTAGGTGCGGTTGCCACGAACTTTAAATCCTGCACATAAGGACTAACTCAGTTTAGCAAATGTTTCCACTCGTCAGCACCAAACGAAAAATCAATAAAAATAAGGGGACTTTTGAAGAAAGAAAATTTCGGTGGAACATTCAAACTTTTTACTTATACTCTAAGTCAAATAATATAATTATAGAAGTATATTCATATACAGTGGAACCTCACTTAAAGAGTACCTCGCATAACGAGCATTTCGTTTAACGAACGACGTTTCGCATAACGAGTGACGATGAGAAGAGAAGTCCTGGATTGCGCGCCTATATATGAAACTATGTGTAGGCTAAGTTGCATACTTTCATTTATTTTTTCAGTGGAACAAATAGGACAAGAAATATAATTAGCATTAGTATTGAGTACATTCATATAACTATAGTTATAAATACATATAGTATATATAGTTAAACCTCGTTTAACGCTTCCTAAATTAAGGCTGATTCGGTATAGCGCAGTCTATAATATAATCTCTCTTAATCGAAGTGACATAATGGTAATGTTTCTTCAATACTATCTAATCAATTCATTATAAGTATTGTACAGATAATTTCCTCAATTAAAAAGAGTACTTCCAATAAAAACTATACAAATTAAGTTCGAAACAATTACTATATAGAGTGACTATACTTCTATAATATACACGCTTATGGATTGAAATTACTACTTCGCAGTTAAAGTTAAAATTAAATTGTATTTATCGTAAGCTACAGCTATAGACGGTATTTCCACATTGAAAATGCAAATTCAAACTAAAACTTTCCGGGTTGAAGTGGACGCATTTGCATAGTTCGTACGCTTGTCGATGTCGTGTAATTCGTTGTGAAAATTGAATTACTCAAATTTCAAAACCCCAAAGAAAAAGTTACACACTGTTTCTAAATTCTACATTGAACAATTAATATCAACTAAATGAAAATGTCTGTTAATGCAATATAATTTTAAAAATATCTTCAAATATTAATTAATAGAAAATTAAGTTTTTCTTCTTTCATTAGGATTTATTTCTTCAATATTTAATGACTTTGCTTAGTTGTTTAATTGTAACAAATTAACATTAAACAAATAAAAGTTAATACGTATTAACTTAATACGTAATACAAATAAAAAATAATAATAGTTAAAGATTCAAAGGCATGTTTTAATATTTTAGTAAATGACTCTTCTTTTATCACTGCTAAATTCAAACACATCAACAGTAGATAACGTATTTAGATCTACATATTTGTACGTATTTTGTAAATAGCAGCAATTTATATAATTATTAATTGATGCCTTTCTATCATAAAGTCATTGCATGAAACTGTCTCCTCCATTATACAAGAGTAATTGATTAAAATTATATCATTCTATTATAATCCTCAATACGCATTGCTTAACTTTTATAAGCCGTCAAACATCAGTCTTTCTATAGAAGTCGTCTGGATTGTATTATTTCTCCTTTTTCTTCTTCTTTTGGAGACAAGTTATTGCATTGTACAATAAATTGCCTATATAACAAATTTCACTCTATTTGTATATGTGGTAGCTGTGTATTTGGCCAGAGTCGTGTGGCAGGATTCGAATAGATGCAGCTGTGGGTCCGTGGGTTCGCTTGATCACATCTTTTTTTGTATGCAATCAATATCGACTCCGAAATTCTATATAGTGAATTAATCAGCAACAATGTAACTCTACCGACATCAGTTCGGCCTCTGATTAGCTCCGAAAATGTAAAAGTTTATACGTGTCTTTTAAAATTTATTAAGAGTTCAAAAGTATCGCTATAGACCACCGATTCAGTACAAAGGTGTTAGGAGAGATCTCGGCTGGATAATGTAGATTGATATTTGTGTTTAGGAAGCTGCGCGTGTAAGCTTCCTAAACACAAATATCAATCTACATTATCCAGCCGAGATCTCTCCTAACACCTTTGTACTGAATCTCCGAGACCCCGATTTGAAAGCTGTTGGGAGTTTTCCCCCTGACCCCGGTAACTTAGGCCATTTTAGATAAATCTCCAATTAATAAAAGCAGTGGTTGGCGAAATTGTGCAAGATTTGCAAGCCAATTGAAGTGTGGAGAGAAAAAGAGAAGAAGTATATGTGGTAGAAATCTAGAGTAGTTATCCTAGATTACTTAAAATATTAAACAATGTTTGTTAATACCTTTGGCCACAATTGACTAATATATTCTTTGTTCTACTGAAAACAAAAAGAAACCATATTTCCTCTTAACTAGGTAACGGTTATTTAATTATTTTTATGAAAACTTTTAAAATGTAATTAAGAATGTTAATTAAATTGAGAAGAAATCATTTCAAACCAGTTGTTTCTTTTATTTTTCCGCCCTATTTCCAAATTCATTTCCGATCCGAGCATTGAGAGCTGCCGTCAGGCAAAAACTTTTCGCCTGTTCTTTCATCCGTTTCTCGCAAAATCCTGTTTTATTTTTGTCATATTCCTTGTTTTCTTTCCTCGTCGGTCGCTTTTCATTCAATATAGATGAAATGAGGCGATAAGCGCTTTGTAAAAACATAATACGAAACAATCTCGTCGTACGATCTTGTTTAATGAACATCGATTTCTAATTAAGAATGTTCAAAGCGTATCGTAACGCCGTGTTTGCTACGATTATATTTAAGTTTGAAAATAAGGTAGAGACAGAGCGATGAAGTAATTGATTGAATCCGGGCGATTCATTTTGCTGCGCTTCGAATCCTCGCAGATTTATCTTTGAGTTTGTATTTCGATGGAGTATTTCCATTGCTTCGTTCGTTTGATATTCGAGCAAATCTAAAGCCCTTGTTGTTTCAGTAAATCAACTTTGTTAGTGTATGCTGGAATTTACATGTACCGGGAATATACCCTATGTATTGCTATCATTTCATATTCATTTCGTTTCGAAATTCCACATTCAGATACGCAAATAGGGGAAACGTACAAATCCTTAGGAAATAAATCGAAATTTAAATTTCATATGAATATACTTAGTAAAGCAAAGTTAAAAAAATTAAAATATTATCAAAAAACAACTGTCTACGCAATATTTATTACAACATCAAATTTCTATAAAATAAATACATCCTAGTTATAATATATAGGGTGTCTCAATGAAATTGCAGTATTAATTTTTCAAATAAGCACATTATTTGTTCGAAAAGTAATCATATATTTAGGTCATTGTAAAGTACAAATGTTGCAATTGTACGTGGGGGTCTAACAAAAGTTCGCTAAGTTGGCATTAATTCATTTGTTTCTGAAAAGACAAAAGTTGTTTCTCAATTTGTTGAAGTCTAACGATATTTCATATTAAATTTCAAGAAGATCGGTAAGAGTGGTTAGGAGAAAATGCATGATTAGTGATGTAAGGTTCATAGAAATTCCACCACAGCAAAAATTTGTTTTGCCATACTCTATGGATTACTACGTCAACTCAAATACGCCTATGCAAATTTTTCAGGAATGCCAAAATGCATATTGAGTGAATGCATCATCCTTTGTAACTATTTCCAAGTGGTTTCAAAGATTTCAGACCAGACATGTTTCTGTGGAGGACGAACTTCAAGAAGGTTGCCCGAAATCTTCGACCGATGATACAAATGTAGCCTTGTTGAAGACAAAGATCCAATAGTGACATAGGAAATGGCAGTTGATGAACTGAGCTTGAATGCCATGGCTTTGTCGCAAATATTAAATCTTCACTTTGGCTGCACGCAAAAATCCGCTCGATGGGTTCCACGATTTTTACAGACGACCAAATAAATACACTTGTTCGTTTTGCCAAATATTTATTGAAAATGGAGATTCTAGAACTTTTCTAGTAAAATCCAACTTAAGAATGTTATTACACGTTATTATTTTGTGTAGCATTCCATAACATTAAGAGATGACAGATATGAAATTTCTATCAACTATATACAAAAAAGGAAGGAAGGAAGCCACATCAAAGTTCAACTATACATTTACGATCTACAGCAATCCCTCGCATAGTACGGAAAATCATACCGCCAATACAGTTTGAAACCGTATTAATCGAGGACTTTAAAAACAATATAGGTATAGGTTGACTATATATAGGTAAAAACCGATCATTTATGTATAGAACAATAATTTGTGCATTCTTTTTTATATTGATTAATTAAAATTTAATTTGCTTTGAATTTTTCTATCTATACGAGATATCGCTGTATTAGAAAACAGTAATATTGTTTATGTTGCAAAGAACAATTAAATATAGATTATGAAGAAAATGTTTAAATTGAAACTTCAAGAAAATAAAAATTTACCTGAGAATAGTGACGAGTTTTATTAAATTAATTAATATTGAAGTTTGTGAACTAAGTCTTTCCGTGCAGCAAATGAATGTAGAAAAGAATACGTTAATAAAAGATTCGTAGAAATATGAGAAAAATAACAAATATATAGTTTTGAAATTATCTAAACTGAATAATAAAAACTATAATAGGCGGAAAGACTTTGGTCGCATGTGTGGCTAATAAATATATTATTATTAAATATAAATATATTAATTTGGAATTTTCAATTTATTATATAAACGCAGCTAATAACAAAAACAAAATAGATATAATATCCACAAAATCTATATAATTGAAAATATTAATTATATTAAAATAGTCAACAAAATATTTATTTATTTAATACAACCAACCAAAAACATATTTAATTCAAATAAAACATAATGAAAAAAATAGCAACAAGAAATAAATACCAAAAATAGATTACTGACATACATTATATATTTAAATTAAATTTTTATGCCGCACAATAAACCAATAATAAAATAATTGAAATGGATTTAATATTTAAAGTCGCTAAAAATATGGTTTGGAATTCAAAATCCCAATAACTTAATTAACAAATATTCAAAGTATGTTATAATATAATATTGTTATTTTTTAATAAACTATTTGGTGAAAATAATAATTAACAGCTGAGGGATTTTCACTATTATAATATAATATATATATGGTGTTAATCAAGTTCGCTTAATTAAATTCCACGCAGTGCTGCAGCGGAATGCGGAATATTTAATAACACGTAATTTTTTTTTTGAAGATTTCCGTTTTCAAGAAATTCTGCATTGCGAAAATGTAGTTTCTTCGCGCGACAGGAATATTAACGTCCAATAAAATAGACTAAAATAGAATAAACGCTTAAATTAGATTAATAAATATATTTTTATTAGATAAATTGTTTTTATTTTTTTGCTTTTATATAATGCGGTTCGAATAATATGAAAAATCGTGGTAGAAGTTGCATGCGCGTTCAGATATACTCCAATCTGGAATGAACGTGACTGAGATCTGTTCGATTTGCAGCTACTGCAGCACTCATCCAAACTACATAACAGTTTTATGTAATCCAAATCCATTACTTCAACTACGTTTAAGATATTATTTCACTACATCACTAATTTTTCAAATTGCTTATACGGAAACGCAACTGCAGATTATTTCAAATCCGTAGGTAAAAAAGCGATTTAGTAGTATCAATCAATTTAAAACTAAATGTAAGTATTGATAATGTTGACTGATCAAGTTCAATATTATTCAATAGTTGGAAAAGATATAATTCTATTAACATCAAATATCTAGAACAGAAATCCATTAATATAATCATTTCAACTTCTTTCACATATTACACTTTTAAGTTTCAGTCTTAAATGATTTTTTTTTATTTCAATTTATTGAGGATCTGTTTTCGGATTGTTGAGATTGTTTGTTAATATGGCGTGTAATACGTGTTGTTGCTGTACATCCTGGGACGCGAGTAACCGTTGCTGAATCCGCCCCTGCCGGGTCTTGTGTCAAAGCCACCTCGAGGTCCTCCGTAGAATCCTCGACCCCGGGGACCACGACCGCTGCCGGATAAGCCAGGTTTGTTGGTCCTCTTCTTCCCAACTTTGATGGGCCTTCCCCGGAGGATGGTATCATCCATATTCAAAGCCATCAACATGGCCTTTTCATTTGCGAACTCGATGTACGCGTATCCTTTCGGAGAACCGCAGAACTTGTTCATCGGTATCGTCAATCTGGTGATCGAACCGCAGTGCTTGAAGTGATTTTCCAACATCAATACGGTCGTACCATAATCGACGTTCCCTACGTAAACGCTGTTGTCGTCCATCGATATATCCGGCAAATCGTTAGTATTGAACTGTTTCTCCATCTGATCCTGCAGCTCGTTCAGCATCTGCACTTCGTCGTTTATCTCCTGCATTCTTTCCTGGATCTCCGCAACTTCTCCTTCTAACTGTTCCATGCTGGACACCTCGTCAGTCGGTGGGGTGCCGCTCGCCTCATCCTCGATGCCAGTCTCCAATGAGAGACAGTCTATTGAATCCTTGATTTCTAGCACGTCTTCCATATTCCACTTACACGAGCGTAAAATTCGAGGTAGAAACACTACTAAAACTGCATGCCTTCACATCTCAAGTGCATATTCTTATCAGTAAATAATCGACTATTCAAAAATATTTTTTTATTTCGAAGATCATGAGTAAAAAAAAACAGCAGAACGAAAATTCAAAATCACAAACTCATTTGGTAGACTATCCTTTTTCTTATATTTACACACTTTTTATAATAAATTGATTAATATGTAGACCAATTATTTCAAACGTCAACAAAACTACAAAATATAAAATGTTCAATATTCAAATATTCTAATCTTCTAATAAGAGTCAAGTAAAACATATACGACTATTAAAAAAAACATATTAAAAATATTCACCTGTGTAAATATAATTTATTAATTTTATTAACATTTTCATGTAATTTATTCAATTAAATTATGTTAGTTAAAAATTATGTAATTGAATAGCATTCATGATGTTTTATATATTTCAAATTGTTGCATAATCTAAAGATTTAATTAGGATATTCTTGTGTACAAGAGTAAAAGCATTAAGATAGTTTAAAAATTATTTATTTAAGTTTTATAATAATATACAAATATTTTTACAAATCTTATTCAATTAATTAATAATTAGTTAATAGTCAATATAATCAAAATTATTAAATTAAAAACTAATGTAAATAATCGATAATTACACAAATAATTGAAATATGTTTTTAAATTTTAACCCAGTATTTTTTTTGACTAAACTCAATTAATCCTATTAAAATAATTACGTATTTTACATATAAAAAATATTCGTAATTAGAACGTAAATGAAAAAATAATAAAAAATATTTAACTACAAATAACACATAAAAAAATGTTTCAGTTAAATTTAGATATAATTTCAAAATACTGTAATCTATGAATTTCTTAGTAAAAATAGTTAAATTTTAATTATTTGTAATTTTATTGGCACAGATTAAAATGTTTATAATGAAGGAATATTATTCGTGTAGTAATGATAACTTCATCCACGTAAATAATTATTTAGTATTTATTGTTTTTAATAAACAAGAATTGTATTTTGAATATAAGAATATTTTTCATAAATATTAAGTTCATGCATGTAAACAATCAAACATAAGATAAAAAAATCAAAACTAGTGTTATTTGGTGTATATATTATATCTTAGATTAAAAAAAGACTTGTTTCGATCATTCTATTGCAGCTGTTTGATGACCCGAAATTCTTACATTAATAGGGAGTGAAGTGGTTGTTTCCTCTATGCCCACTGTACCCACGAGGATGTGTGAATCTTCCGGAGAATCCTCTGCTGGGTCTGTGAGAACCTCGGCCACGGTATCCGGCACCACCTCTTCTCGGTAAACGGTTTGTGGTCGAGAATCCAGGCCTGTTCGTTCTCTTCGGCATCACCTTGATTTGCCTACCGCGCAAAAGTGATTCGTCCATCTTCATGGCCAGCTCCACCGATGATGGTTCACAGAACTCGATGTAGGCGAACCCCTTCGGATTGCCGTTAAACTTGTTCAAAGGTATGGTGATCCTGTTGACGACGCCGCATCCGTTAAAATGCGCCTCCAAAGCCTCCTGCGTCGTCCCGTAGTCAACGTTCCCCACGTACACACTGTTATTGTCTGCCTTAATCTTGTCCTCCAAAGAAACGCTGGGAGGACTCGTCGAACCTGTCGATTCCGTGGCACTGGTATTAAACTGTTTCTCAGCCTCGTTTTGCATCTCATTCAACTTCTTCACCTCATCGTCCATCTCCTTCATTCTCTCCTTGATTGCCTTCAGCTCTGCCTCCTGCTCCGCCGATGCCTCGTCCATGCCGGAAGAGGAGGGCTCTTCCAGAAGCAAGTCCTCATCTACGATCTCTGAATCCACTACAACATCATCAAGAGAATTGGTATTTTCCATCAAATCCATTTCTAACACAAATAATATTTATTCACAGCTGCAAAATAGATATATTGCACGGCACAATACAGAGCGGGAACTGATGTCTATTTTTTTTTTGTGTGCCAGGTATAAACACCCAAAATAATAACACTACTTCTTTGAAATGTGCGTTCATAAGGTTGGTATCTCCGTATCAAAAACGGCAACACTATTTCCCTTTTTTAATGCCTGTATTTAGAGTTGTATACTTGCACTTTTGTAAATTTAAAAAACCGACGGTTTGTTGAAATAGTGACAAATTAGATACTTGCCTTAGATGTCGCGACACAGCTATATAGACGAACAATCTACTGCAACTGATATAATATTTAAAGAAGTTCAAAACAAAACCAATTTCTTTATATATTTATAGTCTTACATGCATATAATCAATCATTTAAAACTTGATTGATGTAAAATATAATTTATCTATCTATATTTGTATTTTTTTTTACAATTTATTATTGATATAAAACCCTTCCGGGTTTATCAGCCCCCACAATTTTTTGTTGGTTTTTGGGAATCGAACCAACGACCTTTTGTATCAGATTTTCGTGATACAGGCTATCTTTATGTTTAAAATATATTATTAATGAATCTGTATGGCGGGAAAATATCGTAAAATTTCTACAATAGTCATATAGTTCACTATATTGCCGCTAGTTATGTAATCGAAATAGAAATCCTCTATGTACATACTTATGTACTTTACTATGACGGAAATGGGCCTCAATTCAATTATTGTGCAATAAAATTAATAAATAAATATTAATTTAATCAAATATCCATACATAAACAAATAATAATACAATAAAGTAAATAAAATAAAGATCAACTGCTGCAATTTACTTTTTTACTAATTTATTTACTTTTTTACAATATCCATCTTTAGTTATCTTATTTGAACAATTATTGAAATATTTTCATTTCCCGGAGCTACAAAATCTGGAAACATACCTTCTACTAAGAGATATGTAAGTGAAGTATGTCTGGTTGCAGGCAAACATATATAAGCTATTGATGGTAGCGTTGGAGGAAAAACAATTAGAGAACAACGCATCAATCAGACAGAGACTTGAAAGTAAAAAATTTGAAATCCGAGTGTTGCGCTTTTTAATGAATGAAGAAGAATTAATGATGACAATAGTCTATTTTTGTGTAGTTTATGAATTATCGGTACTGTGTTTGGTTTTTGTTTTGCAGAATCAATTTACATCAAATTTCATTTATATCAAAACACATGGTTATTTTGAAATCACAAGATTGTATTTTATTATACGAAGGTAGCTAAAACCGTGTATGGCTAAGATTGCCACTGAAGATGGATTATTCTTGGATAAGTGCTAACAATAGTTTCTACTCCTTTGCTACTTTCTGGAGAAGTCCTCAATTTCCAAAAATCTAAACTATTTATGTTGCTAAGTCAACATGTCAAGGACATAAAGCAACATAAATAGATTATATATAACATATATAAATAAAATATCCTGTATGTATGTCAATATAAAAGTTGTAATGTAAAAATAATCAAGTGTTTTTGGTGTATATGTTATTTATTTAAAGTATATTTAACAAATGTCCTAAGGCTAAATTTAATGCACATTTTTCTACTTTAATTTTGATTCCGGCGCTAGAGTTTATGCCGCTCGGGGCTAGACTTGCAAATGCCCAATTTACCCATTCTATAGCGCCGATTTTAGTCCCTTTCGTAATCCGTTAGATGTTTGTCCTAAGAAGAATTGCCTTGATCATTGTATTGAACCTAGAGGATAGTCCTAAAAATATTTTAATAGGGTGTGAAGTGGCTACCTCTGCTGGGTCTGCGTGTACCTCTGCCGCGGTAACCGAATGCACCACTTCTGGGCGGACGGTTTGTAGTCGAGAATTCAGGTGTGTTTGTCCTCATCGGAATCACCTTTATATGTCTTCCGCGCAAAAGCGATTCGTCCAAAATTATGGCCAACTCCACTGATGAAGGCTCAGAGAACTCGATGTAGGCGAACCCCTTCGGAGTGTCGTTAAACGTGTTCACGGGTATGGTGATCTTCTTGACGGCGCCGCAGCCGTGGAAGTGCGCCTTCAAAAGAGCAAACGTCGCCTCCTCGTCGATGTTCCCCACATACACACTGCAATTATCGGCTCTAATCTTATTTTCCAAAGAAATTTTGAAAAGACTCGCCAATCTCAAAAACTGTTCCTTAATCTCCTTAATCTCCTTTACCTTTTTTTCCATCGATTTCACCATCAGTACGATGTCATCATACACAACAGAATTATTATTTTTTTTAACTGAAGCCATTGCTAAAAAAGTAATATTTTTAAAAGTGGAAAACAGAGATGTTGATGCACACAAGTCACATAGAGAACTGATGGGTTCATTGGGGGTTGACACTATTGGGGAGGCAAAAGAAATACCAACTTTCTCTTTTCAAAAATACCTGCAGTTGCTAGAGTATAATTACATTCTCACACATTTTATAAACAAACTCTTTTTTAAAGTATACAAAATTATAATTTACATAACTATTATTGATTTATAAGTTTATTTGCAATATAATTGTAATAATAATAGTGAGTTGTTTCATTGGTTTTTACTCTTACATATGATTTTTAATATCATCTAAAACAATATTCGTAAATAATACAATAATATTTATGCTAAATTATAAAGATATAATAATATAGATTTAAAATATGATTGGCTCAAGTACAAAAAAAATATTTATTATCTACTAATTGTTACATTTTTGTTTTCTATTGGTGTGTGTCTTTGAAGAGTTATTGATTGCCTTCAGTAATCTTCGTTATTAATTGTAAAATATTCTTAAATTATTTAATTGTTATTAATATAGATTTTTTATTTAAAGTTTCAATTATATGAAATAAGATACAAATAACATTAAAAAGTCCGGACACAGATCTGTAGTCAATAGCCTTGTTTTGAAAATTATATGAAATATAAAATATAAATGTATTAAATTAGATGATAGAAATTGGCTAACCAACCATTAACCACAAATGATATCGCGACTCCACGGGTAGGGCTTGCAGAGGATTGCAGTTAGAGTTTAAAATCTAAATGTATGATTGCCTGGGAAGGAAATATGCATGTCAATCTTGAAGTTTTCAATGTAATATCAATTTTTTCTGTAAATATTACATATTACATATATGCAAAACTATTAATTTCATCAAATAAATTATTTGTAATTATATAACATTGCATACATACATATAAAGTGAATTATATATTTATATAATAATTTGTTACTGTTATAAGAACAAATTTAAAATTCATATTTTTATTTGAAAATAAAAGGGAATCATAAATAAACTGTTTTAATCAAAAATTTGCATGGGGTGTTATAACATTAAATATTGCTGAAACTTTTGTTTATAAATATTATAATTAACAAACAACAAGGGAGTAAAATGCATGTATTACACGGTAAAAGCAATGGAAATTTTCAGCATTTTCTGCGAAAATTTACATATTTACGGCAAAGCCTGATAATAGTGGAAAATATGGTATCCGTAATAAAACAGAGGGTTCGGTCTACAAAAGAAAGCACAACCCACGCGGTTATTGAATCGGTTACAGTCGTCCTTCACGTTACCAATAAACATGTGACCAGATGAATTCCATTTTTTCAAGCTTTCAAACGTGACTCAATTAATAACAAGAATAACATATTTTTACCAAAATAAAGTACACAGAAATAGTGATTACAAACATTAAAGCGCGATAATACAAGTGGTGATTTAATTATAGTATTGATTACATTACAGAAAAAAACGTTTCCACGTAAATGCCAACACGGACGGAATGGTTTAAACCAGGAATGTTAAGGATTCAAAGAAACATTATAAGACGGTCCAAAAATAGGAGAAATACCTAAAAACAGAAGCCCGTCAACCAAATTATCTGTGCCCGCCTCTGTTTTACTACTATTGCATTAACTTTAGCGAAATTAAATTGAATAATAATATCATTAACATTAAAAACCAGAAATGTTAAATAACATTTCTGGTTTTTAATAGTTATAGTTCACTATATTGCCGCTAGTTATGTAATCAAAATTTTAACAAATATTCATACATAACAATTAATACAATAATGTAAATAAAATAAAGATCAACTGCTGCAAAGAACTATTAACCATACGTCTTTCTGCCAAAAATAATTTATTTACTTTTTTTTACAATATCCAGCTTTAGTTACATTATTTGAACAATTATTTAAATATTTTCATTTCCCGGAGCAACAAAATCTGGAAACATACCTTCTACTAAGAGATATGTAAGTAGAGTATGTCTGGTTGCAGGCAAACATATGTAAGCTATTGATGATAGCGTTAGAGGAAAAACAATTAGAGAACAACGCATCAATCAGACAGAAACTTGAAAGTAAAAATTTTGAAATCCGAGTGTTGCGCTTTTTAATGAATAAAGAAGAATTAATGATGACAATAGTCTATTTTTGCGTAGTTTATGAATTATCGGTACTGTCTTTGGTTTATGTTTTGCAGAATCAATATACATCAAATTTCATTTAATTCAAAACACATGTTTATTTTAACACTATCTTCTAAGCCAGCTAATCTCCAGAAGCGTTTCTCGCGTAACATTATTGAAAATATTCATACTTTATTTTGAAATCACAAGATTGTATTTTATTATACGAAGGTGGCTAAAACCATGTATAGCTAAGATTGCCACTTTATCGTTAAGTCCCAAACATAGATACATATTTGGTTAGTATCCAAAACGTTGCATATGTGGCAATAACAGATTTAAATCTGCAAAAAAATAACGCGTTATACAGGTAGACGTCGTTTTATGCCGCAGTTCCGTTCCTACAAAAGCCGTCGCAAATCGAATCGGCATAAAAAGAACCATTAATTACAGGGAGGTAACTATAAGGTTTAGTTCTCTATATAAGTGTAAAGTTAGTAATTAATTAACGTTATTTCGCAGCGGCGTTATTGTGAATTGGTGTAAAACGAACAGGCACAAAACGACGTTTACCTGTACTGAAGATGGATCATTCTCAGAAAAGTGATAGCAATAGTTTCTATTCCTTTGCTACCGTGACTTCCTGGAGAAGTCCTCAATTTACAAAAATCTAAGTGTATATAGATTAAAATAAATAAAATATTCTGGTATGTATGTCAATATAAAAGTTGTAATGTAAAAATAATTAAGTTTTTTTTTGGTTTATATATTATTTATTTAAAGTATAGTTAACAAATGTCCTAAAGCTAAATATAATGCACATTCATATACCTTAATTTTGTTTCCGGCGCTAAAGCTTATGCCGCTCGGGGCAAGACTTGCATTTGCCGCTTCATGCAAATCCTAAATTGAGCCATTCTATAGCGCCGATTTTAGTCCCTTTCGTAATCCGTTAGATGCTTGTCCTAAGAAGAATTGCCTTGATCATTGTATTGAACCTAGTGGATAGTCTAGAAAATCTTTTAATAGGGTGTGAAGTGGCTGACTCTTCCTCTATTCCCACCGAACCCACGGGGATAAGCGAAATTTCCAGTAAAGCCCCTGCTGGGTCTGCGTGAACCTCTGCCGCGATATCCGGGTGTACCCCTTCTGGGCGGACGGTTTGTGGTAGAGAATCCAGGTCTGTTAGTCCTCTTCGGCATCACCTTGATCTGTCTTCCGCGCAAAAGAGATTCGTCCATCTTCATGGCCAACTCCACCGACAAAGGCTCAGCGAACTCTATGTAGGCGAACCCCTTCGGATTCCCCTTAAACTTGTTCACGGGTATGGTGATCCTCTTGACGGCGCCGCAGCCATGGAAGTGCGCCTCCAGAAGGGCAGACGTCGTCCCGTAATCGACGTTCCCCACATACACACTGCTGTTATCGGACTTAATCTTATCTTCCAAAGAAATGTTTAGAGGACTCGCCGATCCCGTTGACGTCGTTGCACTTCTATTGTATTGTTTTTCAACTTCACTTTGGAGTTCATTCAATTTCCTCACCTCATCGTCCATCTCCTTCATCCTTTCTTTGATCGCTGTCACCTCTGCATCTTCTATAACAACCGTGTCCGTACCAGAACGTTCTTCCAGCAGCATGAATTCATCTGTAGCTACCACTGAATCCACTACAACATCATCCTCTACAGAATTATTAATGTCGTTAACTGAAGCCATTGCTAAAAAAGTAATATTTTTAAAACTGGAAAGCAGAGATGTTGATACACACAAGTCACAGACAGAAATGAGGCTTACCTATTTTAGGCACAAAAAGGTAGGTTCATTGGGGGTTGAAACTATTGGGGGGGGGAAGAAATACCAACTTTCTTTTTTCAAAAATACCTGCAGTTGCTAGAGTATACTCACATTCTCAATAAACAAACTCTTTCTTTAAGTAAACAAAATTATAATTTACATAACTATTATTGATTTATAAGTTTATTTGCAATATAATTGTAATAATAATCAGTTGTTTCAATATTTATTACTCTTACAAATGATTTTTTTTATCTACAACAATATTCGTGAATAATACAATAATATGTATGGTAAATTATAAAGATCTAATGATATAGATTTAAAATATGATTGGCTCAAGTACAAAAAATTATTTATTATCTACACATTCTTACATTTTTGTTTTCAATTGGTATGTGTCTTTGAAGAGTTATTGATTTCCTTCAGTAGTTTTCATTATTAATAGTAAAATATTCTTAAATTATTTGTTATTAATATCGATTTTTTATTTAAACTAAAGTAAAGTTTCAATTGCAAGAAATAAGTTATAATTAATAATAGAAAGTATACCAAAAAAAGATATTCTACAAGAAAACTAAATTAAATTAATATTCTCTAGAAACATAAAAGAAAATTAACCACAAATAATAACGCGGCTCTACGGGTAGGGTTTGCAGAGGATAGAGTTAGAGTCTAAATCTAAATGTATTATTGCAAGGGAAGGAAATACGCATGTCAATCTTGAAGATTTCAATGTAATATCAAATTATTCTGTAAATATTACATAATACATAAATGCAAAACTATGAATTTCATCAAAGAAATTATTTGTAATTATATAACAAAGAAAATTTTTAGTATTCTCTTCGGAAATTTGCATATTTTCGGCAAAGCCTGAGAATAGTGCAAAATATGGTATCCGGAATAAAACAGAAGGCACAACCCACGCGGTTATTGAAACGGTTACAGTCGTCCTTCCCGTTACTAATAAACATGTGAACAGCTGAATTCCATTTCTTCAAGCTTTCAAACGTGACTCCAATAAATAACATATTTTTACCAAAATAAAGTCCACAAAAATAGTGATTATAAACAATGAATAAACGCTACAGCAAACTTGATAATTAACTGCATATTAACTAGTAATTTAAAAAGTAACAAGTGGATTTCAAAATGACATTAAAGCGCGATAAATCAAGTGTTGATGTAATTACAGTATTGATGACTGAAAGAACAATGCAAAACATTACAGGAAAAAACGTTTCCACGTAAATGCCAACACGTACAAAATGGTTTATACCAGGAATGTTAAGGATTCAAAGAAACATTATAAAACGGTCCAAAAATAGGGAAAATACCTAACCCCTGGTTAAGGGGTTACCAAATTATCTGTGCCCGCCACTGTTTTACTACTACATTAACTTTAGCGAAATTAAATTGAAAAATAATATCATTAACATTAAAAACCAGAAATGTTATTTAAAATAAACCATTTTAGTTAATAGTTAATTCAGCTATATTTCTACTTAAAAAGGTTATCATCATATAAATCGTAAAGATATTCGAGTATTATTAAATAAAAGAAAAAGTTGATAAAATAATGTTGGTTTAAAATTGTTATGCTAAAAACATACAGAAAGATATAACTATATTATTATGTAAATGAACAATAAAACCTCGTTTAGCGTATTTGATAATAGATCCTAGAAAACCAGTGCTAAACGAATCACCGTTAATCAAGGTCACTTGATTCGTAAATAAGCACATTTTGAGCTTTTTTGGTAGACTGTTATTTCGAATAAATCGAGGAAATCCTAAACGACGTCTTTAGTTTTGTTGTCTTTTAATATGGTGTGAAGTGGCTGACTCCTTTCAGATTCTAGGTATTATTGTATTATTGCTTGTGAAGAAAACATGCATGTCAATCATGAAGTTTTTAATGTAATATCGAATTATTTTGTAAATAGTACAGAATACCTAAATGCAAAACTTTTAATTTCATCAAAAATAATGTAAAAATAATGAAAATTGTTTTTTGGTTTATATATTATTTATTTAAAGTATATTTAACAAATATCCTAAGGCTAAATATAATGCATATTTTTATACTTTAATTTTGTTCCCGGCGCTAGAGCTTATGCCGCTCGGGGCTAGATTTGCATTTGCGCCTTCAGGCAAATGCCCAATTTAGTCATTCTATAGCGCCGATTTTAGTCCCTTTCGTAATCCGTTAGATGCTTGTCCTAAGAAAAATTGCCTTGATCATTATATTGAAGTAGTGGATAGTCCCAAAAATCTTTTAATAAGGTGTGAAGTGGCTGACTCCTCTTCTATGCCCGCCGAACCCACGGGGATTAGCAAAATTTCCTCTGCTGGGTCTGCGTGAACCTCTGCCGCGATATCCGGGTGTACCCCTTCTGGGCGGACGGTTTGTGGTTGAGAATCCAGGTCTGTTCGTCCTCTTCGGCATCACCTTGATCTGTCTTCCGCGCAAAAGAGATTCGTCCATCTTCATGGCCAACTCCACCGATGAAGGCTCAGCGAACTCTATGTAGGCGAACCCCTTCGGATTGCCGTTAAACTTGTTCACGGGTATGGTGATCCTCTTGACGGCG